CACATGACCTGTCGGCAATTTGTTCATCAACTCCAGCGCAAACGAAGGTCCGGACAGGACAACAAAGGGCTGCCGAGGATTGTTAAGTGCTCGGGGTATTATTTGGGACATCATTCTAAGTGTATTCAGCTCCAAACCTTTGCTTAGAGAAATCAAAGGCAGGCCCGGGTCAACACAATCAGCAATGCCCTTGAGGAACGAGGCACTGTACTGCAATATAATACACTAGGTAAGCACATAATCTCAAGTTTTGGACAAAATTATTCGACCAATTTTCTAAAACGGTAAACTTTTCTAAAACGGTAATACAAATTTGGTTCGTTCAATAAAATATGTTGTTTGGTACTTCTAGGAATATGAAAATATCCTGCTTAAAACATCACTAAAACCATAATATAATAATGATAATAATAATAATAATAAAGTTTAAACAACCTGCACTGGCACAGCGTGGAAGCAAAAGTCTGCACCGTGTAGAGCAGCTTTAGCATCTGTTGTAGCAACGACATTTTCTGGTAGCTTGTGTGAGGGAAAATACTTACTGGAAGAAAGATTGATAGGCTATTAGTTTGGAATGAACAAGAAGTTGTGAAAAGCTATAGCTACACAACTTTAGTGAAGTATACTTTACAAAACAAAGACACTGTCGCCTAATTCTGCGTTTAAACGATAAAAAAATGAAGAAAACGGATGAAATTATTACAGATTAACATGATTTTCATTGATCGACTGACAAACTTTGGCATCTCGTACAAGCATATTAACTTCAAGCTGCGCTTTTCTATCAGCAACATGTGCAGCCATGGCAGTTCCGAACGATCCACCTCCAAGCACCACAACCTACAGGGACCAGTTTGAACATCTCCCGCAATAAATAAAATAAAAATAAATGACATAGTAAAGCATAAATAATTTTTTTTGTTATGACCCAGAAAAGTTACTTGCATACATGCCATGTGAGGATTTCAGAGTAGTATCATGCTGAATGAGCACCAGTGAGAAAGGAAATTCTTCAATAAGATATAGATAAGCAGAGAAATCTGCAAACTACACTAGCTTCAGCAACCTTACTATATAACGATTACCATCAGCTACTAAAACCCGGTATGATAATTCCGATTAAAGTGCTAGGCATGTGGCAAGCTGAGGGTTCTTAATGCACAAACTCACAAGGTGTGTTCTTTTGTGCGCTTCCTTCTTTTTTTTCCCCCTTTTCCAGTCTCGGTTTATAGTTTATACCAAAACCACGAACACAACAGATTCAGAATCAAGACCAACCGGCTACGTTTGAAAATCGAAAGCTATAGATGAACAAACGATTGAAGTCACAAGAACATTAACATATTTTATATCAGATATAATCATATAAAAGCAGTAATTAGACAGAACAAAAAAACAAAACAAATGGTGCAAATGGCCCAACAGAATCAAGCAAACTGCAGCCCATAAGTATGACAGCATTCAATATCATAAAAATTGTGTGAGCGCAAATATTTTCTTGCCAATTAATACCTTGTTAGTCCGTTCAAGAACATCAGTCTTAGCCCTGGATCGCCACGAGCGGGACCAGCGGACAAGCTTCTCCCACGCCACGCGCACCACCTTGCGCCGGTCTTTGATTCTCTCGAGCGAGGCGCTGTTTTCTTGAGGGATATCCGCCGCCGGGACAACTTCTCCGGCGCCGCAGAGACAGATTGGAGCTGTGGAGGTACGGAGGCGAGGCGGTGGGGCGAAATTGTTAGCAAGATTCAAACTTTGGGGTTTGAGAGAGGGACGGGTTGGGTTGTGCAGTGATTGGTTTGTTGAAAATGGCGGCTCAAGCAGTGAAGCAGCCATTGATGAGCTTTGCTCTGTTTCAGAATGAGAGAAAAGGAGAGTCAATGAGTTGGGAGTCTTTTATGCAATGCGTGATGTCCACGCGTCCATCTCTAAATGATATAAAACTTTTCATTCTTTAGCTTTCGGTCCTTCCCAAATCCCACGTTTTCCATGAGCAGCGATGAAAATTGGTGAATTTGTAAAAAATTCAAATTATATGTACCTCTAATATTTGACATGTAAAAAATTGTTCACAAATACATGTGTTTTATTTTCGGGAGATTCTTATCTGCGGAATTATTCCGTGAGTTTGTAGTCGTTAGATCAACTATTTATGACAGTTACATGATCCTCCTCCTCTCTATATATAATTCTTGAATACGTTGAGTTTGGTGCTTCGGAATCCTACTTGGTGAAGAATCATGCTTCGTAATTAGGTTTGGACAAATAATTTTGATATATTAATAATTAATAATCTAGGTTTGGACATTCCATAAATATTATTTAGCTAACTTAGGTATTTTAATATCACTTGTACTAATATATCCCTGACTTTTGATTTGTTTCCTTCAATTAGCTATTGAATTGTAAATGTATTTTAAAAGTTGATAACTTTTGTATTTCTTATCGGTTATATATATATAATATATCAAATTAATCACCTTTTAATGATCTTCGATTTGACATTCATATTGTATATATTGAAATAAATAAATTATATTTATATTTATTATAATAATAAAAAATAATTATATTTATTAAAATTTATTAGAAAAATAAAATTATTTCTCAATTGATATATTTATGTTTAATGTAGTTATATGTTGTAAGTTAAAAAAAATTATAATAATATAACACAGGTAAGTCGCCCAAATAAAAAGTGTCATACTAAATATATAATAATATATATATTTATAAAATATTTAAATTTTTAACTATTTTTTCTCATTAATTTTAGATTTTAAGAAAAAAAAATTAGCAAGCACCCGTGTAATACACGGGAGTTGTACTAGTAATTTAACGATTTCAAAATGTGACTGAATAATTTCGTAACGGGACTGTAATATTTTCCTTTATTTTTATTTGGTATTTTGAAAAGTCAAGAAATTTTGCAGTCATATATATGCAAATTTTCATACGGCATACTTAAAAAACAATATAATAAAAAAATATGATAACTAAAAAAGTTCACACATAAACATCGAGATTCTTAAGTGCATTAGTATAACAATAAATGCATAAATCACCCCAAGGTTTGTTACAATTTACACGGGCGTCCCCATTTCGTGATGAGTTCAAAATGCTAGACTTCAGATCACTGCTCAACTCAATCGCAGAGGGCTTCGAAATGAATGAGAGCGAAACGAGTAAAATACCAAATTGTCCATTTTTTCAAATATTTATTTATTTTTTTTTTTTTTAAAAAAGGAGAAAAACAAATGCATAAAAAACAATATAAGCTTACAGGGTCCATAGAGGTGTTTTCCAATTCTGGTGACCTTTTAGTCCAAAATGAGATTTTTGTATGATTTGTCAGGAACTATCTTACCTAGAAAACATAAGTGGCTGTAGTTTAGTGGTAAGAATTCCACGTTGTGGCCGTGGAGACCTGGGCTCGAATCCCAGCAGCCACAATATTTTTTTTTTATTCATCTTTTTCCCTTTTTTTTTTGTAATTTTAGCATTTCTCTTAATATTTGTAAAGTACATTTTCACATATTTGTTCGAATTTTACTTATATTTGGATTTTAATTCTTGGTGCAAAATAACTCACTATATAAAAGTAACAATTTTATTTTGAAAAGGGTATTATTAATCATAAGATGTATTACTTTGAAAACTGTAATTATATTAGCAAAAGCTTGGCAAAATAAAGTACAGAGTTGGTCTAAACAAAATTAGTTGATAAACTGTTGTAACTGCACATGCATGCATGTACTACAATGTAGCACAAAACATGATAAAAAATTAATCAAAACACAAATAAATGAGGTAAGAAAATAGAAATAGCTGAACAATGAATTCAGATATTCACTCTCAGATACACTTTCAAAGCTCACAGTGAAAATGGTTAAAAGTTAAACCTCAAGTTCATCTATAGCCAAACAACCCCTATGGCATATATAAATTCAAGGAGGAAACAAATTAGTATAGTTCTATAGCTACAAGAAACTCGAGTAGCACGTCAAACACTAAATTCAGTTAAAGTTCTGTAGGACAATTAGCAGTTTTCCATTGCCAACAAGAAGTTGCAAGTCGAATATATTGAAGCAGCTGCAGCCCTCATTGCTAAATCCTTCTCTAATTTATCTTCGCCCTCCGAGCTGCATTACAGATTAATTTCGCCAAAATTCAATTTTAAAAAATTTATTGGAAGTACGTTATTGACGAAATAATGATTGAGAAAGAATTAACTAAGTATGAATGCAATTGAGATATGCTTAAAGGAGGGAACTGTAGTAACCAAGTATAACTACCTCAAAAATCACTTTTAACTAGTTATGTGAAAGTTTTTAAGTGTTGATAATGTCTTTAACCTGCTTTCGTTTCCTACTGGGCCCGCCTGCTCCGGAACATGGTACAGGCTGTTCTTATAGATACCCTTTTCACAGTGCAACTGCATTTCCTTCACTTGATTCAGCCAACTCTCCTGATAATAATAATAAAAAATAAAATAAAAAATCAAGAAAATGAAAGGTATCTGTGTAGTGGTATATATAAAACAAAAGTCAAAAGCCAGCCATCAATTCTCTCACCAGCTGGTTCTCTTCTTCAGAAAGTGTATTCTCCATCTGCTCGAAAATCGAGCGCCATCTAAACGAGTGTGCATCGATGATTGCTTGGTCAAAATGGCGAACGTTAGGCGAAAACTCTCTTGACAATAGGAGGGGTAATTCTGTGGTTATCGCTGCACGAACTCTTCTCTTACTCCGTCTAAGTGCTGCAAATACACCACAACATTGTAATATTGTCTATTTTGCAGTAGAGTATATTATGTAGTACAGATAAAATTTTTACCAGCAACACGTCCCTTAATATCTTGATTTAGAATTTCCAGCCATTGAGAAGCTACATTAGCCGCTGAAAATTAAACAAAGCCAAAAAAAATAATTAATCAACTTATCAACCCCATGAAGGCGAAAAAATCATCACTATTGTAACATTTTCAAAGGAAGTGCTGATATTTCCCTGAAATTAAACCATAGCCCCATATTATATATATATATAAAGGAAAGAATAAAGAAAACATGTAACAAGAACAATGAAATAAAATGTAAACAAACCTTTATAAGAAAGCGAATTAATGCTGCCAAGATTTGCCGACTCGTCATTCGACAAGCAACTGTTATTCTCTGAAGCAACCACCACAGATGATGAAAGCTTTAGCGCAAGTTTATCGTCCTCATTTTGAGAAGGCGCAAAAGTCCTCCCAAATGAATAATCCCTATCTCTTCCTAATAATACCTCACTATCTTGAATCGTGAACAAGCCATAATCATTTATCTGCCTATTTTCCCTTTTCTCTGACCTCACCAGAGCTTCTATGATAGAATGAACCTGCTTGCTATTCCTCACATGATTAATAATCCCCGGATTCAGACCGTTGAGCAAACCACTTGGAGCAGCTACCCGTGCAAACCTATCCACCTGCTCCTTTTTTGCCTGCTCGATCTTTTTTTTCTTCATCACTTCATTATTATTGAGCTTCTTTTTCCCCCGAGGCTTCGGTAATGAAGCTGGCACGATATTGTGATAGGGAGACATGTAATTGTTTTGTTTCAGCCCTTTCCAAAGTTTCATCGAGTTTGAGTTTTGGTTGCTTTTGTTGTAAGGAAAGAAAGGATCTTTTGCCGAGCTCAAGATGTCCACAGTATTATTAAGGTCTAAATGGAAAGGTCTCGCCTTTGGATTGACATCGGTAGTAGCACAATTAACAGAATCAACGTTAAGGTTAAGATCGAGCTCTCTTGAATTCGAGCACGTGTCGGGATGGGCTGTTTTGCTTCCTCCCTTCTCTGCTTGGGCTGCATTAAAATAGACATCGAGTTCTAAAATTATTTGAAACGAGCATCGGACAATAATAACCAGAAACTGGAAAATAAACGAAAAATGATTTCAAAATGATTTTAGCCTAGTTTCCAATCAACTAACAAACAGGAAGAGTTCATCTCACTTGTATGTTGTATCCCCTAAATACACCAAGTAGAAGATTATTCATACAAAGCAAATTCTCTATATATCCAAAAGGTTGAACATTTGGAGACTGTACAAAAAATCGAATTAACCGCGTAGAATTTCATCGGCTATCCTGCAATCTTTATCAAAATCACTCGCCTTATACTATAACCATTTCAGCTTTGACTAGTGTTCGACCCATGTTCATAGGAAATGTGAACAATGATATATCAAATGAAACAGTTGAGTTAGGATTACACAGACATACACAGAGAGTACCTTCAGAGCGAAAAACAGATTCAAGGTCACGCATTTTCATTCTTTTCTGACAACTAACTGATGTTTCTTCAACTTCAGCAATGGCCCTTTTCTGACCACCCACAACCTACCAAATTCAAAACCCACAAAAAACAACCTATCACTCACAAAGAAAGCTTAGCCCAGATAAACAAACAGCGTATAAATCTAGAATCCTATGTCTTATATTTTAAAAATCCAACCTTTGATTCAGATCTGTGTCCGGGTAAAGACTGGCTTTGGTCCGAACTGTCGCAGCCCATTCCTAGCTTTCTCTTTTCTTCCCCTAACAGTCAAATCGCCCGGTCTTCTCTCTGAACAAAACCCGGAAATCAAACTCGAAAAACGAAAGCTTTAGTCGAGGAAAAAGGATAAGCCCCACCAAAAAAAGATAAGAGATTGTTGACTAAAGTTTGTAAATTTTGGTAATTTTTGAGAAAATAATTTGATTTCTCTGAGTGAGATGTGAAGAATGTGAAGTTAAAAGGATTTGAATTGCAGAAAGGAGCGCGCTGACTGCCCGCTTGAGAGGCGCTTTATTTTTTTATTTTTTTTTTCTCTTTTAATTTATTCCTTTTCTGTTTTGGTGTGTCATGTTGTGTGTTTCAAGTTTCAAGTTTTCAAATTCAAATGGAAAATGGAGGAGAAAGGGGGACCATAACCAAACGGGCATTTGTCGCGCCAGCTATTATGTGTATTTGCAGTTTAGGATCTCCCATACTATCATTTGAAACATTTTATTAATATTTTTTTTTTTAAAGTATGATAGACTGTCACTATAGGATAGGGGAGATTCTACTGTTCCATTGTAGAATTATTTCGTCGGGATTTGTGTTCAACTACTTGCATTCGAACTTGACGATTTTCTTGCAAAATTCCTTACTTATAGACCATATATTATTATGATTCCATGCTGCAAAATTATATCTTGTACAAAGTCATAACAAAAACCCTGATTTCGAAACCTTACAAAAAAAAAAAAGACACACTTAATCCGAAGAAATACATGTAAATTTTTCAAGGGGAGTGCATTCATTGCGAATTATGTGATTATATATAGATTGAACTAGTTTTTAATTGGATTTTTTTATTATAGTTAATTTTGGAAAAAATATGGTATGATTAGTTGTTACTAGATATTTAAATATAAATTAAAGTATCATTTAAAATAAATAATTAAAGTTGATTTAATATAAAAGTAGGAGAAAAATGATTGAATATTATGGTTAGTTAAATTATGTGAGTGACTGAATAGTGAATTAAAGTTGATGCGATGCGTAAAATAATCCATTGATATTATTTAATTATATTAACAATACTAGTACAACGTTCTTGTATTACACGGGTGCTCACTAATCTTTTTCTTAAAATCTGAAATTAATGAGAAAAAATAGTTGAAAATTTAAATACCTTTTATAAAAATATATATTATTATATATGTAGTATGACATTTTTTAGTTGTGCAACTTATCTATGTTATATTAATTACATTAAATATAAATATATCAACTGAAAAATAATTTTATTTTTCTAATGAATTTTAATAAATATTATTATTTTTATTATTATAAAGATAAATATAATTTATTTATTTCATATATACAATATGGATGTCAACTCGAAGATATCAAAAGATGATTAATTTGATATATTATTATATATCGATAAGAAATACAAAAGTTATCAACTTTTAAAATATATTTACAATTCAATAGCTAATTGAAGGAAACAAATCAAAAATCATGGATACATAAGTCAATTAGTGCCTCACTATGTAAAATTACAAAGAATTAAAAAGTTATATTAGTACAAGTGATATTAAAATACCTAAGTTAGCTAAATAATATTTATAGAATGTCTGAACCTATATTATTAATTATTAATATATCAATATTATTTGTTCAAACCTAATTACGAAGCATGATTTTTCGCCAAGTAGGATTCCAAAGCACCAGAAGCAGTTACGCATGCTCAGCGCATTCGGGAATTATATATAGGGAGGATCGGAGATGGTGGGTTTAGTTAATTTGAGTTTTGATTGATTTTTTTTTTTTTCGAGTTGAATTGATAAACAATCACACCCCAAAAATCTGGAGATTTTAAAAATCTTAATTTAATTGTTTAAGATTTTAAAATTCTTGAGAAGTTATTTTATTTTAAACTCTCTTTTTTTTTCAAAATTTTCAACAAATAACTCGTTTCATATCTTAATATAATACCAAAATACACGATTTTGCTATGGAGCCATCGGATGGCTCGGCTTATAAAGTCACCCATAGTTTTCTGCAAATGGTATATTGACACGTGTCCTGCAATAAATATACATTGGACACGTGTCAATACATAAAGGTGTGGATGACTCCATAAAGAAGCCATCCGATGGCTCCATAAACTTTCTGCCAAAATACAACATCCTTTCAAGATATAGTCATTTATAAAGTTTTACTATTCATAAATAAAATAAAACCCTTATAATTAACAATGATCCAATCTCCTACACCACACATGGTCTCAATTTTAAGGAGGTGGTTCTTAGATCACTTGATCTCATCAACAATATCATCCAGATTAATCTTCAACACGACATTGTGAAGCTTGAAGTAAATTACTACTAACCTGGTATAAAAAAATTTCACAAGTGCAAAGAAAATATCATGAAGAAGAGATATTTGAACTGTAGCAGTGGGGTGAAAAATGATTGATAACAAAATCCTATTTGTTGTTTCTTATCAAGATATATATTTC